AATAGTTAAAAATTTTTAATATTATTATAAAACACTATTTTGGGGATTTTTAAAATTTTGAACGTCTATGATATAAAGGAAGGTTAAGTTTTTTTGAAAAACAATTTTTTAAACCCACTATTAGGTTTATAACCAACGCCTATTTAAGTATCTAGATATTTTTAAATTTTAGCTATTGAATTGCTATGAAATCATTAAAATAACAAAATCAACTTTATAATTTTATTAATAAACAAATTGGCGCTATTTATTTAATGTGATAACTTTAATATAATTTTTAGACTCAATTAGCTAGCTCAAATCTCTTTAAACGATTCCAATACCGACAACACTGGCAACGCGAATGATCTAGTACGTCTCTGCGATTTTAATCGTTTTGGTGTCACTCCTAAATTGACGTAGATCAAGTAAATAAAAAAAATTAAAAACAATTAGGAGTAATTCATAAATAACGTATAGAAATGTTATAACATAAAATCGGTATGTGTTTCACAAAGTAAACTGTATAGCTAACATAATCATTGTATTCGTATTATGATTTTTAATATTATAACTGAAATGATTATATAATATTACAGTTTGTATGAAAAAATACATAACGGTTTCATGAACGTTGCCATTTATATAATCACCTAGTTTACTGCACTTATCGGACTCCTCGGTATAGTCAGTGCACAATAGGTTAATAACGTCGCCGAACAACAATTTGAAAAACCAAACGGAAGTCTCGATTTGTTTGGGCTCGCATTTACCGGCTAATCCATCCTCGCAACATTTTATGAATTTAAAAAAATCGCTATTATTGAAGTAAACAGGCACATTGTTACAAAAATGAAATTATAGTAAAACTTGTTTAATAGCAATATTCAAGACAATGATTACCTTATCCGTAAGTTTGTGTAATAATGTAAAGTTTGTGATTTAAGTTAAATATTGGATTTTATTACAGTTTAAAAATATTATATAATCATGTAAAACTATAGCATAATTATGTTATATTGAAATAAAGCATATTTTTATATTAGCATATAATAATTTTAAATGCATCGTATATAATAAATAAATATAAATGTTCTTGTCTAAAACATACCAGCACATATAAGGTATCCGTTTATTTTCGGGTCCATTTTTGGCTCCCAATAATTCATCAAGGATAGTTTCGTAACATTTGCCGACGACATTTGTGTTGTATTTATTAATACATGGTGTGGCCGCTATTAACTCATCCAGGCGTTTGGACTCCTTTTTAGAGCAAAAATTTTTGATGGCACCCTTAAATGAAAAGATTAATATGCCAAACGCTTGCTTGCTCAAATCTCGGAAACAATTGTTCTTGTACTTTTCAATGTCAGAAAGTAGTTTGCTCTCTTCGCTATATTAAAGTTTAAATTAAATTGATTAAAGTAGTTTAAATAGTTTTGATTATAATTACACTAGTTTATATTAATTTTTGTTAAGTTATGCTGCGCTAATTAATTAATATTAGCAACGTAAGATTAATCTAAAATAATTCAAAAGTAACAATAAGATTTACTTTTTAACTCACAATTTGCGACACAATTTGACCGATTATTGTCTT